AACACTCCCAGATGAACGGCCAGGCCGAGTCTGCAAACGGGGTGATACTTAGGGGCCTCAAATGAAGTTTAGACGAAACCAAAAAAAGATGGGCTGAGGAGCTACACAATGTACTCTAGGGGTACCGAACAACGACTCACTCGTCAATCAGGGAGACTCTTTTCCAACTAACTTACAGATTGGAGGCCTTCATTCCCGTAGAGATCGAAGAACCCTCCAGGCAAACTGAAGCTCCCCTAGACGAGGAGATGAACAACGTCGCCCTGTATGAAGAACTTTACCTGGTCGAGGATATCCGAACAGGAGCGGCCTTACGAGAGGCCTCTCTCAAATAAAAAATATACATGCGCTACGATGCCAAAGTCATACGATGAGAGTTCAAGGTCGGCAGCCTTGTCTTAAAGAGAAATCACAAAGAATCTCGCAGAGGAAAGCTCGCAACAAATTGGGAAGGCCCCTATCACGTCTATGCAAAAACAAAGACCGGGGCGTACTACTTAGAAAATATAAAAGGGGAACAACTTTCTCGACCATGGAACACTGAAAAGCTAAAACAATATTATAGTTAAAACACTGAGCAGTCGTCAAGCTTCATCAAAAAGACAAACTCATCCAGGCCCAACCATGCGTGCATGCCTATGTACAAGTATAACACCTAAAATATTTTGAAGGGGCGAGACTCCACTCTTTTAGAAAGCGTGTCCTCAACCGTTCATGGATAACTCGACCGAGCTCCATCGTCCTCGTACCATGACGGTAGAACACCTGGCTCACGACGAGAAGTTCTCGCCGCCGAGTTCAGGTCCTCGAAACAAGACTCGAATTCCAGCCCATGCCCGATATTCACCCTGGCCATTTGTCCAATTTCCCCATACTGGCGAACATACAAAACAAACGAGCAAATCCCCACTATAAACTCTTAGAAAAATAAAATATGTCTCAAGCAGATGAACATAACAATAATCATGCAAACACAAGTTAAATATTTGGAACAAACGACCACCATGGCCGGAAAATTAAAAGATACGACCGCCAGGGCCGCTATTGTACAAATATTACAACAAGGGAGGCATTTATCCCCTATCCAAAAGAATAATTTTGTGGCCACAAGGACCACACTTGTTCGGAACTTACAAAAACGAGCAACAATCCAGAAAAATAGATTACAAAGTTATGGCATGCAGACCGGAGCAGAATGAAAAAACTATCAAACATCACTCTTCAGTCTCTTCCTCGACAACGAGCGACAGCTGAGAGGGTTCCCCCCGCGGGCTGGATAGTGAGCTCCTTGAGATAGTAGAGAACCAAGATCTTTCAATGGCCACATAGTAATTAACCCTCATCTCGGAGGTATTAAACTCGACCCCAGGGTTCAAAACACGAAGCTGCTTCAGAGTATTCTCGAAGCTCCCCTCAAAGGTGGCCTGAGTGTCATCCATCGCCAGTTGAAAACGAGCAACCAGCTCAGCTTGGGTCTTTAAGTCCTTCGTGTCCTCTGGCTCGTATTCAGCGAGCGTAGCCTCAACAGCCAAAGTCGCCACCCTCTCCTCCAGAGCCTTCTTCTCGAGCATCCAGACCTTGCTCTCCTCGGATAGCTTCCTCGGATATTCCTCGGCCATCTTCTGAGCTTGCTCCTCGTCTCTTCACCCCTTTCTCGACCGCGGCCAGTTTGGCCCGTAGCTTCTTCAGCTCAACTTCTTGAGAAGATCTCCCCTCGGTGTAGGTGACTATCATCTCCAATTTCCTCATTAGGCCACTAACTTCATGCGCCAACACTGCCCTTTTCTCTGGGCGATCCAGCCCTTCGAGGTGAAGAGACTCAATCCGGAGGAGTTGTAGAGCGGCACCCTCAAAGAAATCCATTTCCATCCAGCAGAGGGGAAGATCATACTTCCCTTTCCCCTTTTCCCCGGTCAAATCAATGCTCCATTTGACACATGGTCTCTTTTCCTTCGAGGACATAAGAGCGGGAGAGAGGGAGAAATTAGCTTGACCCGAAGACGAGTTGTTCGACCCTGACGTGGGAGTAATCCCCGAACCATTCTGGGCATCTTTCAACACCTTCTTCGCCCTAACGGCAAGGTTCCTGGCTATGCGTTCTTGAGCGAGATTCGTGCTATCTGCAGAATAAACAACAAATCAGAGTTAGCAAACAAGGATTTAAAAATATCGATCGTATATAATTATTAAAAACATAAAGCTAAATACCCAATTATTTAATGGGGTCCTCGCTCTCGAGGAGCTCCTTAAAGGCTATCAGATCAGGCTCGTACACGATCTCCTCGTTCTTATTTATGACCGATTTTCTTCCCAAGCCCACGTGCTGGACGTGAGGAATCCGCGTGACAAAAGCGGTCAAAACTGTGAAGCTCGTCTGGTCCTCGTCACTAAGCTCCTCCTCCTTCTAGATGTAGGAACCCAACTTGTTGTTAAAATGCTTCCTCGTCCACTGAAAGGGGAACTTGTAGACAAACTTACTCACATATTCCCTCATCTCTTTCAAGACAGAGGCCTAATTCTTATCATATTATGGAGTAGCCCGAAAAATGTTCAACATTGCTCTGCTCGAAAGAGGTTGCACGAGAATATACTTATCCTTGAAGTGCCGAACAGATTCCAGGTAAGCTTTAAACAACTTCCCATTGCCCTGCTTCAAGGAGACTCATCCCCACTTTCCGTCAACCTTGCTCCTCTTGAGATGGAAATAGTAGAAGAACAAAGGAATGATGGCCCATATCTTTAAATAATCACAGACAATCTCGAACATTTGCATAAAAGTGACCCTGTTCAGATGCAGATGAGAAGGAGCTAATCGAAGATGCCTAAAACGGCCACCTGGAAATTCGAGAAAGGAAGTCGAAGGCCCATCTCCCGTAACATAATGTCATACATGGGGATCTTCCGCTTATCATATTTCGAGCAGATCCGACTATCTTTCCCAGGGATCCAAAGCGACCACTCCCCCCGGTCCCTGTCGTCGTACGGACACACTTCAGTAAAAACCTCATCCCGGTGCTCGAAGAAGTAAGAAACCAAATCTCAAGGATCCTCCGAGACCCAGATCTGAGGGTCCTCGTTATCCTTCATGCACAAACAGGCCACCCTGATCGACAGAGGCCATCTCCACATCCTCTCCCCTTGCTTGTTGATCAGACTAGTTCATCCCGTCCCCAGATATCTCCAAGATGCTCGATGTACTACAAGTCTCGTTCGTAGAACTCTAGGAGGATCCGGTATGTCCGTCCGAAAGATCGTCTCCGACATTGTCGATCATAGTACCTGAAAAGCAGAGGATATAGTTAAGTTCGACATTGATTCCAAAACCACTCTTCCACCACTAATCAAGTGAAAGGGCACTGATAAACAAGGACCATGTCCTCGACTAGAACCCTCACTAAGGAATCTGAATGAACAAACACTTTTCCCAACAAGACAAACTCCAGTAAAAAACTACCTAAATCCTCAAGGATCATCTATGGCACGCCGCAAAAAATTGAGAGGATCCACGGTGGCTCCGGCGATTCTAAACTATAGAACCATTATCTGCCACCAACACTTCCCGAGAACGCCCTGACAGACGAAATCCTAAGTCTAACCACATGCATTTCTAAGAGGAAAATCATGAAAATCTAAGCTACAACAACTAAATAACAGAGAAAGACTGGAATCTTACCAATTAAAGAAGGAAGGAAATTGAAAGGAACGACGAAAAACAATTAATCTTCAAGAAACATCAGCGGTCGACAGGAGAGCAATAACGAGTAATGCGAGAGAAGAACAAAAAGTGAAGAATGCCCTACTCCTCTCGTATTTATAGCTAAACTCGCCCGCGCGTGAGAGACAAGTGCCTAGGGAACCATAGGATTGTCACCATTGCACCCTAGCCCCTAAACCATCATTGCGCCATTGCATCGGTGCACTACCCAAAACACATTACCTCTTCAATTTTCGAAGCTCAGACGACCAACTAATCATCTCCATGCGAGAAAGGCACAACAGACGATGCTCATGCTCCCCGTAAGAAGCACCTCATTCCACGAGCAGGTGTTAAAGTCATCACTCGTATGCCCAAAAGTAATGACTTGGGGGGCTACTGTTCTGGACTGGCCCAACGGCTAAAGTGGGCCCAGTATGACCTCCTCCTTCGACACGGCCCGTGCGACCACGACCCGAGTTCCTTCACCCTCTGTCGGGCACCATCAATCGTTTGCTCTCCTGGACCAGCACTGACCTACGAGAATTGACGAGCGCCTCTCAGTCCGTCCGACCCCAAGTCGGCCAGACAACCAGGAATCGACCAGACTGCTGCACGTAACCTACCTCCTCCTCAGAACTAACAGCTAGTTGTAGGCACACCTGCCCGGTTTTACCAAGTCTTGACAGTTACCTAATTTTGCGGACCCGCATATCTAGGTCCAAAAATAGGGACCAACGGTCAAGCGCCAGTGGCACTATATAAACTTTCACTCATGTGAGGGTCAAATATCAAATATCGACTATTAATCACTAAAATCCTAATACTTTGTTAGTATCTCTTTTTGCTTCCACACTTATTTGATCGTCAGAGTGTCTTGGAAGTACAACCCCCTTTTTCCTTCTCGACTTTTCAATCTATCTGAAGATTATCATCCGACCATCTTACAGATTCTGATCAACCGATAAGATTATAAACCAAAACAAGTCCAATCGTAAAAGGCCAACTAATTTCTCTTAATAAATTCTTTTAAAAAAAAATACATTATCATAAAATAAAATAAAAAGCTATGGAGGAGGAAGTGAGAAAGAGAAAACCGAGACGTGTGTTTGTCCGTGAAGTTACATTATAAAGAGAATAGAATATTGAAAAACAGTACTAAAATTAGAAGTTGACAAAATTAGAAATTCAACCAAAAATACATAAATATTCATATCTACTCACTCCACTACACTAGTAGTATAAATCTCCGTCTCTTTCTCTTCATTTATTCCACCTATCCACTACTTGGTGGAAGCTCTGCAAGATGCGAAGCATGGCAAGTTCACGAGGCAATATTGCCGCCATCGTCGGTGTCGGCCCCAACCTCGGCCTCTCCATCGCTCGGAAGTTCGCTCACGAAGGGTACACCGTCGCCATCCTGGCACGTGACTTAGGGAGATTATCAGAATTTGCGGACGAAATAGCTAGGGAAGAAAAGGCACAAGTGTTTGCGATAAGAATTGATTGTTCCGATTCAAGAAGCGTGAGAGAAGCATTTGAAGGTGTTCTTTCACTTGGATTTGTGGAAGTTCTTATTTACAATGCTAATTATGAGTCACCTCTTCAATCTAAACCAACTCCTTTTCAACTTCTTCCCATTCAAACTTTCCAAACTTCTCTAGCAGTTTCGTCTCTCGGTGCTTTCAACTGTGCTCAACAGGTACCTACTAGCTTGTTGTCTGTATAATTTTGATTATATTAAATACGAACCAGAATCTATTAATTAAATTAACGATGGAGTGATTAATTATAGGTGCTGCCTGGTATGGTTGAAAGAGGAAAAGGAACAATTTTGTTTACTGGTTGCTCCGCTTCTTTGAACGGCATTGCTGGATATTCTGAACTATGTAATTCACTTTATTCATGATATATAATTAATTTAATCTAAACTATATAAACTAGTGAGAACATTTGGATTTGCATGCATGAATTATGATGCAGGCTGTGGGAAATTCGCATTGAGAGCACTTTCGCAATGCCTTGCTAAAGAATTTCAACCACAAGGAGTGCATATAGCCCATATTATTATCGATGGTCTTATTGGCCCACCCAACAGGTTCGGTTTTGTTTGTTTATTTGTTCTCAGATCCTTCATTTGCTCTCATTCCACCACTTGCATGTTTAGTGCTAAGGCTTATGTTATGTTACAGGTGCAGAGGACCATCGGCGGCAACGACAACGTCGCGGGGAGGAGGTGAGGGTGTTATGGATCCGGACGCGCTGGCTCAAACATATTGGCATCTACACGTTCAGGACAGGAATGCATGGACCCAGGAAATAGATGTTCGTTCATCCAACTGCTAGATTCTTCTACCTTGCAACTTGCAACTTGCAACTTGCAACAACAGCTACTTTGTTTAAACTCCAATCCTCCCCCACCATTCCGTAGTTTATGTGGCTCTATTATTTTCATGTCTCACTTTTGCGGTCAATGATGCCAGTGCTAGAATGAACTAAGAATTATTTGATGACGTCTCTCTCTTCAATCATTGGGACTTATTGGTGTACTTTACAATTATGGGGTGTACATAGATTAATTGTACTATTATTGTATGTTTAAGTATTTAGAGAAAAAATATCCATTTATTCACCTTCCTTTTTGATCAAATTTATTTCTTTAACTGTTTGAAAAACAAATTAATATCTAAGTGTTAAAGACATCACAGATGTTAAAATACACTTAAAATACAACACTTCTGACAAAATGGAGGCTGTCATGCTTTTTTGGTACTGTGATCTCTCATTTTCTAATTAATGATTATCATCTCTCATTTTAAATAATTGATTAATGTACATGACAAGTCTGAACAAACACTATAATTAATCACAATATCAAAATACATAGATTTAAAAAGGTAATGAAAAAAAAGGATTTTCTCTATATTTTTAGACATTACAAATTTGAAAGTACACAGATCTAAAAGGTTTGAAATTATAAAAACGGAAAAAATATGGATCCTAATGGTGTGACCTCTCATTTTCTAATTAATGGCTGTCATCTCTCAATTTTAAATGATTGGTTAGTGCATGGCATGTCCGAATAGACATAACAAATGAAAAAAATATAGAACCTCTCTCATGTTCTTTTGAAATTGTGATCACTTTTTTTTTTAATAAACGGTTGTCATCTCTTATTTTTAAATGATTAATTAATGTATAATAAGTTTGAATTGACACGATAAGACATAACAAGTCTTAAATTACACAAATCTAAAAAGATTATGAAAAAAAATAGAATTCTCTCAAATTTTGTATACATGAATCTAAAAAGATCTGATATTATACAAATAAAAAAAATATGGAACCTCTCATGTTCTTTTGTTGATGTGATCTCTCATTTTCTAATTAATGATTCTCATCTCTCATTTTTAAATGATTGATTAATATGACGGGTCTGAACTGACACGACAAGATATGACAGGTCTCAAAACACACGACAAGACATAACAGGTTTCAAAATATACAGATCTAAAAGATCATAAAAAATACAAATGAAAAAGATAGGATCCTCTCAAGCGTTTTTAGACATTACGAGTTCGTTTGGCGCGCAGGAAAGGATATTTGTATCATATCCTATCTCAATCCAGTATTTGATGACACAACATATTTGATAAGTGAATCTTGAAACTTATCCTATCTTACCTCAATAATTCGAATTATTATCCTGAATATGAGTTGGGTTAGAATTCGATTGAATATGATAAAAAATAATTTACAAATTTATCCTTATAAAATATAATTTAAAATAAGAAATTAAATATGATAAAAGATAAATAAAAATTAATTTAATATTAAATTAAAAAAATTAATAAATAATTTTTTGAAAAATATATATGATTATCACAAAGGTAATTTTTTAACTTTATATAAAATAAAAAATTAAAATCTAATAAATTAGAATATTTAAAAATAAAACAATTATTAAAATATTAAAAATATGTATACTAATTTTAATTTTTATCAAATTAAATATATTTTCTTGCAATAATTATATATTATATATACATATTTTTATTTTTCTTATCTAACATAAATAATAGAATTCATGATATTTTTTAAGAAAAACTGAAATTATTTACTTAGTAGTGTCAATAAATTTTCTTTTAAAATATAGAAAAATAATTTTTTATCAATTTATAAATTTTAAAATGTTTTACAAAATAATATGGAAAAAATGTAGTTGTTTTGCACGAATATATATATATATATATATATATATATATATATATATATATATATATATATATATATATATATATATATATATATATATATATATATATATATATATATATATATATATATATATATATATATATATAAAAGTTAAAATACTCATTTTGCTTCGTTAACTATACTCTTGGGTTCATATTGGTCCCTTAACTTTTTTTTCTTGTCATTTTGGTCTCTTAACTTTTAAAATGTTTCAATCATTTTTGTCTAATTAGTAACGGATTTAGTGACGGATTTCAAAGTTTTTTCATCGTTAATTAGATAAAAAGGACTGAAACAAAATATTTTGAAAGTTAAGAGACCAAAATGATACAAAAAAAGTTAAGGGTCCAACGTGAACCCAATGCTATAGTTAAAGACTAAAATGAGTATTTTGCCTCTCTCTCTCTCTCTCTCTCTCTATATATATATATATATATATATAATGTTATTATATTGGATATCCTGTGTGAACCAAACACATGATAAGTCTTATCATGTTTATATCATATCTTATTCTTATCCTGTTTTATATCCTATGGTATTGTGATGTCTCATTTTCTAATTAATGATTGTCATCTCTCATTTTTAATTGGTTGATTAATATATTGAAGATCTGAATAGATATGACAAGACATGACAAGTCTGAACAGATATGACAAGATGAGAGCTCTCAAAATACACATATTCGAAAAGGTCTGAAAATGCCTTCTCTTCTTTTCACCATATTAGAATTGAATAGAAACCTAAGGGGCTGTGCACTAACAATTGGTATCTAGAGCTCCGGTTCTGATCCACAGGGAATCACGAGCGAAACGTGAGCGTTTGTGTGATTGATTTTGGTTCTAGGTCTGTGTTAAATCGTTGAACAAAATGGAATAGAATCACATTTTCAAACTCTGTGGGATTGGGAAAAATTGTGCTTGTGAGATTTGAGTGAGTTGTACAAGGTTAAGGATGAACAAAAACGATAATCTGAGTACCAAACTTCTTGTTCTTGATGGCAAGAACTAGAATAGATGGATGATTTAGATGCGCATGTTATTCGGTGCTCAGGATGCTCTTTAGCTTGTTACCGATGACTATGTTTGGGTTACAGTTGATGCGACAGAAGAAGAGAGAAATGAACAGAGAGACAAGAGGAAGAAAGATTAGAAGACATTATTTTATATCCATCAGTGTGTGAATGTGAATGTGTTTGAGAAAATTGTTGATTCGACGACAACGAAGGAGGCATATGACACACTGGTCAGATGCTATGGTGGTGACGCATTAGTGAAGAAGGTGAAGCTTCATTCTCTGCGAAAGCAATACGAGAATCTCAACATGAAGAACAATGAAAAGGTTTTCGAGTACATCTCCAGAGTGATTCTGATCACTAATGATATGAAAGCTTGTGGAGAAACCCTTTATGAACAAATAATCATTGAGAAGATATTGAGGTCGCTTACTCCTTAATTTGATTATATTGTTGTAGCAATTTAACATTCTAAATATCTAGACACCGTGAGAATAGAAGAGATGCAAAACAATGTAGAGGCGTAAGAGTTGTGTTTGTTTGAAAGAACTTCTGAGAGGGAGGTTGAGCAGGCTCTGAAAGCTTCTTTTGTCAAGAATGACCAGAAGCAGAAAAAACACGATAGGTCTCAGAACTCATTAGTCTTCTACTCTAATGAGAAGAAACATTAGCAGGGAAAGGAGAAGTATGATAAAAGAATGGTTCAATGTTACTGTTGTAATATGTTTGACCACTTTGCTAAAGGTTATTGGTCAAACAAAGAAGAAGCAAAAATAGCTAGAGGAGATTCAAATGATGAACCTGTGATATTGATGGCTTATGAATCTGATGAGGAACCAGTGCGATTGTCATTTTCTGATTCTGAAGGGGAAGAAGATGACTCTGAATATTCTGACCCTGAAGAAGTGTTTGAATATGAGTCAAAATCAGAAGATGACGCTGGAGATTCTGAAGATGAGTCAAAATCTGAGGTTTCTGAAGATGAGTCAGAGTTAGAAGATGACTCTGAAGCTAAAGACAAGTCAGAACCCGAAGGTGATTATGAGTGTGAAGAAGAATCAGAAGATGAGTCAGAATCTGAAGAAGATTCTACTTCTGAAGACGAGTCATAACTTGAAAGTTTTGAAGAAGAGATAGAGTCAGAAGATGAAGAATCTTCTGGAGACTCTAAAGATTAGTCAGATGGTGAATCTGATTTTCATCCAGATTTTGATGATGATCCTGAATCAGGTGGTGATCATGCTTCTAGAAGGGAAAACCCTGAAGACGTAGGTTCTAGAGGACAATCTTTTGAAAATGATCATGTTTCTGGTGGAAATCATGTCTATAAAGGTGGACCTTCTGAAGGAGGAGCTTTTGAAGGTAGTCAAACCTCTGGCAATGATCATGATTCTGAAAGTGGAACTTCTGAAGTCAAAGTTTCTGAAGGCGGTCCAATTTATGAAGGTGGTATTTCTGAAGGTAGTGGTTCTGGACGTGGTCTAGAAGCTAACAAAGGTGAAGCTTCTGGTGGTAGTCAAACATCTGAAAAAAGTCCAGAAGGAGATATTGTTCCAAAATCAGAAGATTCTGGACAAGTCTAGAGGCCACAACGAATCAGACAAATACCAAGGAGATTTACAGAGTTTGACAATGTTAGCTCCTAAATTCGACACTCACACATATTAACCTTATTGGCCAAAAAATGGATTGAGGAAATCTAAGTTAAAGACACTGAAGGGACTCTGAGGTATGAAGTGTTGTTCCCTTATGGTGTTAGATCATATGCAGAGCTGATATGCTATTCAGACTCTAATTGGTATGGAGACAGAGTTGACACTGGATATTTTTGTTTGTATATAGAAAGTCCCATTTCTTGGTGCTCCAAGAAGTAATCGGTTTTTGTGTTGTCAACCTATGAAACTCTCAAGAAGAAAGTGTGGCTGAAGGTCATGAAAGAAGATCTTGATGCTATTGAAAGAAACAAGACTTGGGAGTTAAATGAGCTTCTGAAGGAGAAGAAAAACATCAGCGTCAGATGGGTATTCAAAGTGAAATCTGCATTTCTGACTGGAGTTGCACATTGTAGCAACCA